AGCTAAGTATAGTGGTAACTGACAATTCTGAGAAAGGATCACATTTCAAAATTTTTTTAGTAACAGACACGCCTGTGAAATAATTGTATGCCCATTTAAATTTATTGATAACTAACAATCCTTTAAAATACTTGCATGCTCAGCTATGTTTACTAGTAACTGATATTCCTTTGAAAAATATTCCATGCCAAAATAAGTTTACTATAAACTGACAAGCCTTTGAAATGTATCCTTGTCCAACTAAATTAACTATTAACTGACAGTTCTGTAAGTTGATTACATGTTCAACTAAGTTTATTAAAGTAACCGACACTCCGATGCAATAATTGCTTTATTAACAGGCAATGCAGTGAAACAGTTATATGCTCAAATACGTTTACTAGAATCTTAAAAGGTTGTGAAATCCACATAACACTAAGTTCACAAGTAACTGACAATCTTCTAAAATAATTACATGAACAACTAGGTATGCTAGATACTGACATTTGTATGAAAATATTGCATCTCAAACTAATTTTACTATTAACTGACAATTATGTATGTCGATTGAATGTTCATCTAATTTTATTATAATAACTGACAATCCTGTGAAATGACTACATGTCAAAATACTTTTACTACTAAATGACAAGCCTATTAGAATTATGATTTTTTTAATTTCTACTAATCATTAATAATGTTTATAAAAGCGGATACTATATTTGAAACTATGTCACCTCAGTGAAATTGGTTGACACCATTGATTTGGTTTTCAACTTATCATGTAATAAAAAAAAGAAGAATAAAGAAGGAATTCTGACTCTTTGCTATGATATTTACAGACATTCTCAGAACTTGTGACTCAGTCATTACATAGATATTGTTATAAAAAGGAACACTGTATAGTATTGTAAAGTTCTGATGATCTATTTAGGAGATATCTAAAATACCATTCCGATGAACAATTCGAGCCATCCGTATATAGGCAGTGCTACCGCCTGCCTGATAAGTTTAGTTGTAACGGACAATCCTACAACATTATTCCTTGTGCAATTAAGTTAATAAGTAACAAACAATCCTATAAAATGATTGTATGTCCAACTAATTTGAATAATAACTGACATGCCTAAGAAGTGAATGCATTTTCATATATATATGTATATAAGTACTTTTACAATATTAATTAAAATAGAATGGAATGTTAAAATCCAAAATTATTCGATAGGAAAATGTTCATCATCTTTAATGTAGTAGAATTTAATTTTATATTTTATTGCATATTAGTCTGATTTTATTTAATTCTCGTAGGATCAGCCAATAATGTTAACAGAAAAGAAAAAAAACTCTTTTTTTATTTTTTTGCATTGGATTTTGAATTAAGGAAAAAATTACTCACTTCGTTACTAATTTCCTTGTTTTCTTTCCCTTTTAGCCTTTAGCCATTAAATTCACAACGAGTCAATTAGTTAGAGGGGAAATAATCAAATTTAGTGTAATTGCTAACAAGCGTTTCTATGTTTACAATACGCCATGGCGTTTGTAAAGGCTGCTAGTAATTAAATATAGAGAAAGAAAGAAATCCAGACAACATCCTCTCTTTCGTAATCCTATATTGTACAATCCTGCTTTATTTATTATTTTATGTTATTGATAATCAGAAATACTCATGAACCTAAAAAACAATAGAAACCAATATAAATCGTATCATCCAGAAACGTAATAACATAAAGTGTCTTAAACACTTGTGGCAACTCAGGATGGAATAATTGTCATGAAATTTATGCATAAACATTGATCGTTGGGTTAAATAAGTCTGTTGCGACTTCAAAACGATCTGATTTATAGTGACGTAATAATAAGAATCAAAGTTATAGATTTTCAGGTTATACATCTAAATTTCACTTTAGTATTATCTTAAATCAAACAATTCAAGTATCGAATAAAGTATTCATTCTTTCATTTTCGTTTAGTAGACGATTAGAAACCAGTCGATAAAAACATTGGAAGCTCAGCTAAACTTGGGAGAATGATTAAAATACTTTAATAATTTTTCATAGTTTTAAAATATGCATTTATGCTGTTAATTTTGTGCTTATTAGTTTTTGATCTTTAATCTCCAAAATATAGACGTCTTAATCAAAATTCAATGACTAATTATAAAGAAAAATTTAATTACTGTACCTGATTTTGTGCTACAGATATTAATCCATCAATTTTTTTTTCAATACACATTTCAAACTAGCAAAAAGTTTGATTTTGTTTTAGAATTTTTGAGCAAAGCTACATAATAACTATTTGAGCATAGCCGTCCTACATTTTAAACTAACATACTAGAGAAGGGGAGCCTCAGGAGTGTGTCAAGGGGAATATAGCAAATACACAATACTGTTAAGGTACTATCTGTAGATTCATTGGGTGGGTGGACCTCAGTCAGGACGCGTAATGTACTGGAGAGACTTGTGCTAAGAAAGTTTGGGAGCTTATAGACAAGAAGGTTTTGTTTGTTTCGAATTTCGCACAAAGCTACACGAGGGCTATTTTCGCTAGCTGTCCCTAATTTAGGAGTGAAAGACTAGAGGGAAGGCAGCTAGTCGTCCCCTCCCACCGACAACTTTTGGGCTACTCTTTTACCAACGAATAGTAGGATTAACCGTCACATTATAACGACCCCACGGCTGAAAGAGCGAGCATATTTGGTGGGACTGTGATTCGAACTCGCGATCCTCAGATTGCAAATCAAGCGCCCTAACCACCTGACCAAGACAAGAAGGAAAGCAGCTACTCAACAACCCCCCATCAAAATCTCGTGGATTTATCTTGTATGATTGAATATTGCGACTTACTCGTCACTATTTCACCGCATCCGTGGTTCCAAAATATGCAGCACAGTTTTTGAAGCATTGGAACGCGAACCATGAACCCACAGATTCGCAGTGCGAGCATGCTAACAACTAGGCCACGCCCGACCCACAAAGGAGAATACATGACTCTGCAATCAACTATATAATACACTGTACTGAAGTAAAGCAGGAAATTTAGAAAATTTGAACAGTTGTATTTCATGTATTTTTGGAAGTTATAGTATACGGTTTATATGTAATGTTGCTGAAATTTTTTTGTGAATTGTAAATTCAATCAAACATTACTTTTCTCCATTATGACTGGCGGTTTTCATTATCACTGTGTTTCTCAATTTGGAAAATGCAGTTATAATCAGACTATGTGGCTTTGGTTTATTGGATTATTAAATATTAATGTTAAAGTAGTTCTGGTTATACGATATGGAGAACTGTGGTGGAAAACCTCTCACAGATATAGAGAACTGTGATGGAAAAAACTTTCACATTCCTGATATAACTTTCCACAGCAGACTTAAACAGTTCTAGCAAATAAATAAAAAAACTGCGAAACTTTTGTAAAAAGCGTGCCAGCCAATTCTTTAATAAATCAAAAGAAAAATCCGTACAAATATTTAGTGTTCAACAAAATTTAGACATAGAAATTGCTTTAAATACAGTTTTGAAAGTGTGTGTAATTTCTTTAACTTAGTTGGTTTAGATTTATATGTTATAGCTGTGGCTATGTACCCGTGAGACAAATGGAAAGTTATAATGATATAATCTCTACGTTTTGGTCTGCATTCTGTTACTTGTCACGTATTAGAATTTCAAATAGTCCGAAGCCGAATTAACTGATAATTTAAATTTAGTAGTTAAATTGTGCTTTGGATTTAGTAGTTAGATTGATACACACCGTTTTCATGTTTAACACAGATACGTTTTATTATAAACACAACAACACAATTTACAATAACAATTATTACAAACAAAGATTTATAAAGAAAAGTTTCACAATCTTACAAACTATATAAAATCTTCTTTCTAGTTTGGAATTCTCTTGATATCTTATCGAGGGTTTAGGATGAGCGAGTTAATTACGAGTTTATGCAAGTACGATTCGCCGGGAAGTTAGCTAGCTTTGTCCTTGGCCACACATGCTAGGTTTTCTACCGTTGAAGTTAGGTAATATATTCTTTAAAATATTAATGTCAGATGAGAATCCACTGAAGTTAAATAATATGTAATGTTCCTGGTC